GGAGCGGGAGGGGAGGATGGAGTGCGGGCCGGGCGTGCAGGGCGTGGTCGATGGACCCAAGGGGGCGGCCTTCGCTCATGCGGTGGCTCTGAGAAACGAATCGGTCATCTTTAGTCAGACTGGTCGTCCTTGGTCAGACTGGTCATCCGGTGCTCGTGACCATCGCTGTGTGGCTTGGAAGCGGCTGTCCTCAGGAGACACCTGTCTGTCCTCCTCCTTGACGTTTCATTGAACTCTCGCAGCGACCCTGCTGGTCGTTATACACGTGCCATTTTATTTTTAGTTTTTAGTGCAGGGGACTTCACGAGGGTGGACACCCCAGGGCACAAGCTAGGAGGTGAGAGGGTAGAAGGTGCATCCAGGTGGGCTTGACTCCCTGTCTCTTGTTCTTCCTGACAGCGGACCTCCCTGAAACCCGGGGCTGCCAGTACCAGCCTGAAACCTTGGGAGCACTTATTCAGAGGGGTCAGTGCTCAGATCTCCCTATGTGACTGAACGAACAGAATCTCACCAAGTGGAAACTCTATCCTGAGATGTGTGCAGTCTCCAGTTCCATGGTTTGGGCTGAGGGTCCTGGACCCTCCAGCACGGTTGAGGCTGCCTCTCCCCTCAAGTGAACAGATTCCTATTTGGGGGTAGTGATATCCAGTAGAAAGGCGATGAAAAACACAAGCCTCATTTAGAATTTTTCAGCAGCTACAGTCAAAAGAGGCAGGCAGAGCCAATTTTACTGATATGTTTTCCTTGACTCATTACATTCAAAATGTGATCTTGACTCGTGACCCTGGCCACACTTAAGGCGTTCAATGGTTGCATGCAGCTAATGGCTACAGTACTGGGTAGCACATTTATGGTGAATACCAAAAGAGTCAGGCTTAGGGTGCTAGATGAAAGTTTTAGGTAAAGTGAATTTGTTTTTTCAGGCCCAAGTCCCAGCCCTTCTGAAAGAAAGCAACTGTACAAGAGGCTGGAAAGAGGGAGTCCATGCCAGATCCTGCCACTGAGAATGGCCCGTTTGACAGAGACCTGTTCCAGAGCTTCAGGACAGAGGCAGAAGATTCTAGAAAGGAGCAGGTTCTGATTTGCTTCACCTGAGGCAGTTCTTGGTTTGCTGCGTAGCATGAGTAAGACTTATAATGTTACCACATTCAGGAGCTGTTATGGACTGTGTCACCAGGGATAATGTGCACTAACTTGCAGAAGGTGGTGACCTGGGGTTGAGGGGGTTGAATGTCAAGCTGAGGAGAAAAAGATACTTTACTAGAGGGCTAGTGAAGCCATGGTGTCCAGAGAAGATGTAGTCAGCTGACAAATTCCTAAACAACACCCCATTTCCTTCATTTTCCCGTTACTTTCTCTGCACTTTGAGTAGCTGTCACACCACGTTCATTACTATATGTGGCATTTAGAGTTATGCAGACACTCCTTCTTTCTTGAACATAGATAATAACAAAATGATACCAGAGGGAGGGAGTTTTCTATGCTGGAAACCCCAAAATATGAGGGGGACCCCCCCAAAAAATCAGTCATCTTTTGGAGGGCAGACCCCTTGTCGTACAGGCTTTTCCCACTAGGTAAGTGTTCTAGGAACCCACCAGCATCAGTGTACCAGCTAGCATTGTTGTGAGAGGCTGTGTTTGGCTTTAGTTATTATGATTTTTTGTTGTTGTTGACTCAACACATTTGCCCATTTCATTATGGTGGCTTATGAGTGCACTTGCCCACACCGTCCTGAGTATTCATTAGTTTTTGACCAAAAATGACATGACATCCATACCCCACCCTCCCTATTCACCTGACCTCACCCAGAGCGACTTTTTTCTGTTTTTCTAGGAAAAAGTCTTCAAAGGGAAACATCTTGTGGGTGTGGAAGAGGTGAAACAACAGCAGAAGCACTAAAAGGCACCAAAATTGACAAGTGTAGAAACTGTTTTGAGCAGTGGAAAAAGTGTCTCAATAGGTTTCTTGCATCAAACGAAGAGTGCTTTCAGGGTGACTGAAGTTTGAACATGTAAGAATAAGTACACCATTTTTTTCATAAATAAATTCTGGGGCTTTTGGGGTTCCTCCTCTTTTGGGGCCTGAAATTAATGACTTGTGTATAATCACCCAGGGCAGACCCAGGAACTAAGCACGGTGCTCTTCACACACAGGTGAGTGTCATAAGCATCTTATCAAAAGGTCTTTTTTAAGAATCAGGAACCATTATTGAACAAAAAGTTGAAAAACATACTCCTTGTATACATTTCATCTTTATTTTAGAGTTTTCTGTGGAAGCTCTAACTCAGGGTGTAAAGACAGTAAGAATTTGCTTACTAATCCCCCCTGAGTTGCTTTTTGGGGGGCTATTAGGTTGCATGAGGATAGAGGGTTTCACCTCAGTGTACCTGAACATGTTAAGTTAACCTTCTACTGTATTTTACAATTTTGTCAGGTAGTCACAAGGAACATAAAGTGTTACTAAATTAACAAAATACAGTTTTTACCACACCCAGTGAAAAATGCAGGGTTAAGTGGACTTAATATCAGAGAGTGCATTCAAGTGCTGCTACCCTTGTGTGGTCCTTCTGTCCCTTTTCAAGAGTCAAAGTGACATTCCCCATTGGGAAACCTTTTCTCCAGTTGGGTGTGATGCGAATTTTAGGCAGGTGAATGCAGACACGTCTCGATCATAATGGGATTACGTACCAGGAAAACCATTGTAACTGTCATAATTGAGAACTCCTCTAAAGGAACTCTAAGGCAGACCAAGTCTCTCATGACCCCCTTGTTCTTTCCTCCTCTCCAGGTGAACCTTCACAGGCCTCTACTCTCTCCGAGGAGCAGCAGAAAGTGAACATGGCTCAGGTGAGTTTGGTTCTTAATCAGTTTGTTTTGCAAACTTTCATAAGGGTTTTTTTTAAGGATTTTGTAAGGGTTTATGTGTCTGTATTTTAATATGAAAAAGAAGAGACAGAAATGGGTCAGACACATTCACAGAAGATACAGAAATACAAAAGACTAGCAGAGCAAACTTGGCATGTGGGTAGATAGATGCAGGTGATCTGCTGGTACACATTTACCAAATTGAGTTCCACATTTATTTCTGTGGTTTTTAATTACTTTGGCAGAGGGTCAGACATTATGTAATGGTTTACATTGATGAGAAAGATAAAGCAAACTGATTCCTCATGAAATATAAAGATGAAGATAACCTGATGTAATTTTTGTCATACAAGTCGGTGATTTAGTAATAACTCATTACATAGCATAGAATGTTTTCTTTACTTTTTCCTCAATAGAAGTAGAAACTGTCATGTTGAGCACTAACTCACTCATTACTCACTCACTTCTCAAGAATTCAAACATGGGGTTAAATGAGACATTTTTGCGATGAATCAACTGAATGTCTTTAAAAATCACACACTATAAATATTCTGAGTATTCATGATATTCAGGTTGTTTAGCAGATGATTTAAAATTCTGTTCTTTTTCAGATGTCTCCACACTTTGCATTCAACTTCAAATGTCTGTGTGATGCCTTGGTTGTTCTTCCCACTTGCCTGTGGCTTCCATTGACCCTACTGGATTATAATCAAATCCGGTGGGCATTGTCTTATCCTTTCCTCACTTGGCTTTTCTTCACCACTTGCCTCTGTTTCTCACTCTGTCCTGAAATGTTTCTCTCTGAGTGATATTTGCCACTGGCATGTCCTTCCCCTGCTGCCATCTCTATGGACTCATCATCTCCTCTCGTCCTACTGACTTTGAATATGTCATCCCATTGCCTTCTGTTCTTCATAGTTTCTCATTTGAAATCAACTTTGAATATGAGAGGTTGCTTCTCCCTTGCTGCTTTCAAGATTATCTCTGTCTTTGGCTGTTTTAAAACTTTGATTATAATGTATCCAGGTGTGGATTTTTTTCTCCAAGATTATCTTACATGTAGTTGAGCTTTTGGAGTGTGTAGATTAATCGTGTCCTTCAAATTTTGGAACCTCTTGGCCACTGTTACTTCAAAAATTGTGTTAGATCCTTTCTGTCTCCCTTCTCTGTCCTGTACTCTCAGTATGCATATGTTGGTAAGCTTGATGTTGTCCTATGGTTCATTTTTTTGTTATTACTTTTTTCTTTCTGTTTCTCACTGCACAGTCTCAATGGACATGTTATCTTAGTTACTTCACTCTTTTCCACCTACTCAGCTCTGCTATTGAATGGACTTTTTTGGTGAAATGTTCATTTTAGTTATTGTACTCTTTAATTTTAGAGTTTCTGTTTGGTCCCTTTTTATAATTTCTGCCTCTTTATGTCTTTATTTGGTGACATACTTCCCTTCAGTCCTTAGATATCATTTCCTTCAGGTCTTTAACCATATTTAAAATAACTGATTTAAACTCATTATCTAGTGAAGTCCAATATCTGCTTCCTCAGGAGCAATTTCTGTTGATTACTCTTTTCCTGCATATGGGTCTTACCTTTTTTTTTTTTCTTGTTTTGTATTTTTTTTTTTTTTTTTATGTTGGAGTCTCACTCTTTGCCACCCAGACTGGAGTGCAGTGGCATGCTCATGGCCACTGCAGCCTCGACCTGCTGGGCTCAAGCAGTCCCTCAAATTCAGCCTTCCAAGTAGCTCTAACTACAGATGCACGCCAGCACGTCAGCCTAGTTTTTGTGATTTATTGTAGAGACGAGGTCTTGCCAAGTTGCCTAGGCTGGTCTCGAATCCCTGGACTCAGACAATTCTCTCGCCTCGGTCTCCCAAAGTGCTGGGATTACAGGTTGAGCCACTGTGCCCGGCCTTGTTTTATAATTTTTGTTGTTGAAAACAGGACATTTTAATAAAATATGGCAACTCTAGAAGAATTTCTCTCCTCCTAGGGGTTGTTGTTGAAAATTGTCCAGTGAATTTTTTTTTTTTGAATTGAAGTCTCATTCTGTCACCCAGGGTGGAGTGAGGTGGCATGTTCACTGCCACCGCAGTCTCCATCTGCTGGGCTCAGGTGATCCTTCCGCTGCAGCCTTCCAAGTAGCTGGCACCACCGGTACATGCCTCCATGCCTGACTTATTTTTTTTATTTGTTGTAGAAACAAGGTCTTGCTTTGTTGTCCAGGCTGGTCTCAAACCCCTGGACTCAGGCAATCCTCTTACCTCCGCCTCCCAAAGTGCTGGGATTATAGGCATGAGCCACTGTGCCTGGCCTTTCCAGTTACTTTTTAAAACTAATTCAGTAGTGCCTGTGTTTGTTGTGTGAGGCAGCTGAAGACTCTGCAGAAATTTCCTTAAATGCCTGAAACCAAGCAAGTGTCCCAGTCTTTTCCTTGGGCCTTGTGAATGCTGTGGCATTTCTCCAGCAGTCATCCAGGCCATGTACAACTCTGTATTTGTCTTCACTTCCTGCTTTCTCCAAACCTTAAGGTCACTCAGAAGTGACAGCTTAGAGCCTTCTCATGTCCTTCCTGATCATATCACAGTCCTGGGCATATTCTCAGCTCAGTGCATATAGGTAGGCTTCTCAATTCTCAGGAATATATCAGAGTTTTTCAAAACCTTTCTGGACATTTTATCCTCTAGCTTGTCCTTTAAATAAAGCTTTTTATTAGGTGATTACTTACCCCAACTGTTTATCCACCACCCCAGGTAGCAGGTAAGTTAAAGTTGCCTTTGAATGTTTTTGACTAATGCCTTGGAGCACAGGTTTTTCATCCTGGGTGAAAACTCTGAGTCAGTTCAGTAATCAGCCTTGCAAGTGAGGTCTTCAAGGGAACCATCCCATTAAGTCAAATGATGACAGTTTTCTGGGAACAGACCTTTGACAGCTCTAACCCACTTCTGCCTCCTCCAGTGATTGCCGGGCTGCTGGTTTTTCCTCTTATCTCAGATGATTGGTTCTCAAAGCTAATGTGGAACTGGAGAGAGATGGATGAAAATAGGACAGGTTAAGATGATGCAGAACTATGGTTCTCCCACAGTTGCAGCCTTTTTAAAAGACATTTCCAATTTTTTTTTTTCAATTGAAGTTTCACTCTGTCATCCATGCTGGAGTGATACGGCTACTGCAGCCTCAACCTGCTGGGCTCAGGTGATCCTTCCATCTTAACCTTCCTAGTAGCTGAAACTACAGTGTGTGCCACCACGCCTAGCTAATTATCTGGTGTATTGTGAGACGAGGTTTTGCCAAGTTGCCCAGGCTGTTCTCGAACCCCTGGGGTCAGGCAGTCCTCTGGTATTACAGGCATAATGTATATATTTTTTTGGCATAAATATTCTTATATAGATTGCTTGAAGCCTTTGATTAACTTGCAGAACAAGTTGATTCTGTAATTGCTGCCAGTTTCTCATTACTTTTATGGAAGAATTTTCTCAACTTCAGTATTTTTGCTGACATCACTTGTTAGCTTGAATTTGAGGTCTTTTGATATAGAAACTTTCCCTTTTTTTTAGTTTCTAAGACTTTATCCTCTGGATTCTATTACTATTTTTCAGGAACCTTCTTCTCTGACTTCTTGCATATACATCTTCTGCCAGCCTCTTCAGTATGTGTGGTCCTCAAATGTTTTTTGTTTTGGTACTTTTTCTTAATCCCAGTGTGCTCAAGGAGCTGTCTGATTGTCTCTAACAACTTCAGTTACCAGCTAGAATGCTAATGACTCACAAGTGTTTGTCTTCATCCTAGACTTGCCTTCTGTACTCTGAAATCGTGTATATTGGTTTAAAGGGCAGTTCCAGGTTTATGTCTCACTCATCCCTTTGTGGCAACCTGAACCAAACGTCTCATACGTTTTTCCTTTTGTTTCTCAATTGTCCGTTTTTGGCATCATCAAGAAGCTGATTATTTTGAAACATACATTATATTATTATTAACTAGAGTCACCAGGCTGTGCAGTATCTTGAAAACGTGTTCCTCTTGTCTGATGGAAGCTTTCTATCCTTTCACCAACATCTCCTGTTCCTCTCCCCGTCTACCACAGACTCGGGTAACTGCCATTCTACTCTTTCTTTACTTCTATGCATTTTACTGTCTTAGATTCCATGTATAAGTGAGATCTTATTTGAAAGATTTGTCTTTCTGTCAATTAGAAACAAAATAAAACAAAAAGACAGAGAGAGGGGCTTCTCACACAGCTAGACTAGGTTGTTACCTCAAGCAATAATCATCAGATGGTTGCTTCTGATCTGTGATTATATCCTATTCTTACGTTGATTGCTGTTACTTCAGTGTACATAGTGTTTTCTTACTATGGTCTCATTAGTTCCAACTTCTTTGTAAGCTGTTCCTTGTTCTTCATGAGCCCTAGATTTCTGTATTTTCATATATTTACTTATATATAAGTTTGGTCAGGTATCTCTCTGGTGCTCACATGTCTTTCTTCCTTGGCTCCCAGTATTTACAGGGATGATGTTCAAGGAGGATATGAACTTTGTAGAGAATACGATCATCCCGGGAATGTGCAAGAAGAGTTGTACAAGATTTAATTACATTGAATTTTTCTGTCTTAAAAACATCTGGAATTCATAAATGTATATAGATGTGGTATGGTAAATTAGAAACCTTTTAAACTAGCTGAGTGACAGTTTTAAGGTGAAATTTGGTCCAAAATAAGCCTCTATAACCAACCGTTTTTGAGCCTCAAGAGTAAACAGGAAAAGTTCTCAGGTATTTTCTGTGTCACCTAATTCTGAGACCTTGAACAAAATATGTTGCTGAAGGGATCAGTGTCATTCGAGGACGTGACCGTGGAGCTCACCCGGGAGGAGTGGTGGCAGATGGGCCCTGGGGAGCGGAGCCTATACAGGGATGTGATGCTGGAGAACTACGGCCACCTCGTCGCAGTGGGTGAGCGGACCTGCCATGGGACTCCTTCTGTGGCATGTTTGCTTTTTTAAAAAAATTATCAAGACCATAGATTCTTTATAGAGATTAAAGGCTTTGTAATTTAAACCTTTACAGAAACACAAACAGTTTTTGTCATTATCTTCCCTTCGAAAACATCAGATGAATATTCTCAGTTAATGCTTTTATAGCTGTGTCTTTTTCCATCCAAGTGCTCATGGATATGGCCCATTTATACCTCAAGTATTGCATTGCAGGGTGCTGCATTACCAAACCCAAGGTTATCTGCAAGTTGGAGCAAGGAGAAGAACCATGGTCCCTAGAAGTCAAATTCCTAAACCGGAAGTACCCAGGTGAGTGAGTGTTGACAGAAGGAGCCTTGGGGTAGTTAGATCTTAGTGGAAGAGCACCTTAAAAGTTTTTCTGGGGGGGAGGTAACACCTTTTGAGATATAATTCACATCTCATATAATTCATTCAAAGTGTATAGTTCAATGGCTTTTAATGTGTTTATAGATACAGTCTGCCCTCTGTATCCATGGGTTCTGCATCCGTGGATTCCAGCAATTATAGATTGAAACTATTTTTTAAAAACACATCTCTACTGAAAATGAACAGACTTTTGTCATCATTCCCTAAACAACATAGTATACAACTGTCTACTGTCTCTGTTTTATGAGGCAAGTATAAGTAATATGGAGATGATTTAAAATATACCAGAGAATGTGCATAGGTTATATGTAAGTACTGTGCCATTTTATATCAAGAACTTGGGCATCCATAGGTTTTGGTGTTCATAGGAGTCGTAGATCCAATCCTCCCTGGGACGACTCTATGTACAAACGTCATCACCTCAAAAAGAAATCTGTACCCTTTAGTTGTCACGCTTTTATATTCCTGACTCCTCCAGCTCTAAGTAGACATTGATCTACTTGTGTCTCTGCAGATCTGCCTATTCTGGGCATTTTGTATAAATGGAATCATATAATATGTGATCATTTGTGATTGGCTTCTTTTGCATAACTTAATGTTTAAAAGGTTCATGTTATAGCATATGTCAGTGTTTCATCCTTTTTATGGCCAGATCCTATTTCATTGTTTGGATATACTGCCTGTGTTTCCACTCATCAGTCAGTAGATACTTGGACTACCACCTTTTGGCTATTATGGATAATGCTGATATGAACATTCATTTACAAGTTTTTGCATGGACATATGTTTTTATGCCTAGGCATGAAATTCTGGGTCGTGTGGTGCCTCCGTTTATCTGATTAAGGAACTGCCAGGCTGTTTTTCTAAGTGACATCACCATTTTCTGTTCCTAACAACAGCCCATAGGGATTCTGATTTTTCCATATTCTTACCATCATTTGTTTGATTCCAGGCATCCTGGTGAGTGTGAAGTGGTATTTCCTTGTGATTTTGATTTGTTTTTCTTTATTAGGCAGCTAGGGCTGTCATAACAAAATACCACAGACGGAGTGGATTAAACAACAGAAATTTACTCAGTTCTGGAGGCTGAAAGTCTAAGATCAGGATGCCAGTAAGTTGGTTTATCGTGAGGCCTCTCTATCCTGGCTTGCAGAAAGCCACGTTTCTTGCTGTTTTCTCACATGACCTTTCCCCTGTGCGTATCCACTAAGGGAGAGAGAGAGCACCCTGGTGTTTTTTCCCTTTCTTCTAAGGACATCAGTGCTACTGGATAAAGGCTTCATCCTTATGACCTCCTTTTAACCTGGATTACCTCTTAAAGGCCTTGTCTCCAAATACAGTATTACTGGAGGTTAGTTCTTCAACATATGAATTTGGGAATGGGACACAGTCCATAACAGTTTCTTTGTCAATAATGATGTCAAACATCTTTTCATATGCACCTTAGCCTTTGTCTATACTAATAAATGATTCCAGAAATTTAAAAAAGTTATAGTTTTCAATAAAATTCCTAGAAGAAAAAGTAAAATCATCTAAATTATTATAAGTGATGTACATTTATTGAAAGTTTTTGTTGTGAGCCATGGTAACAAATGGCGTTACATAAAGATTGACATAATATAGATCAAGCATATCTCCCAGTCACTATATGTAAATGATTAGAGCATATTGACTGGCTAAATAAGCTATCTCTAAATACAAAACTTGGAAACATTGTTATAGAAGAATGCTAAAGTTGTTAGTCAATAAAAGTAAAATAATTTAGATTTCATGTTCTGTTATCATTCAGGTTTGAATTCAGATAATAAGTACATTAAAGTCTAGCCTGAGATCACAGGTAAAAGAAAACATTTAAGGATTTGAATTACTGAAACAAATAATATGATATCGGTGTTCTAAAACAAAGGAATAAAGTTCTAAGAATCCAAAAAACACGCTCTGGTTACAGTCCATATTCTCCTACTGCTTCTTTCTAGAGTGTTCAAATACAGTTATTTGCTTTTCTGGTTAAAAAAAAGATAGATTAAAATGCCCTCACAAGAAGATACCATGACTAGCTAGCTTACTTTCCAGCATGTGAGGCTATACAAGAATAGCCTATAACCCAAACAGGTCACTCACAAGAATGCAACTGTGTTGGAACCCTCTTCTGAGACTTCCAGCCTCTAGAACTGAGAAAAATAAATATTTGTTTTTTAAGCCACCTTAATTTGTTATATTCACCCATGTTGTTTTCTTATCTGTTGAATGTCTGTTGTGTCAGTAATTTCCCCTCTTGCATTTCTGATATTGCTAATTTGTGACTTTTTTTTCCCTGCTTATCATTGAAAAAAAATCTTTTTAAATAACTAAGCTTTGGTTTGATTTTCTGTGCTGTTTTCTTTTTTCAGATTTATTTTCTAATATTTACTGTTTTTCTTCCATTACTATCTTTAGATTTAATTGTCTCTCTTTGTCTAGTTTGTTTAGGTAGGAACTTAAGTATCCGCAGATCTTTCTTTTCAAATATAAAAATTTTAAACCACATATTTATGTCTGAGCACTGCTTTAGTTGCATTCAGAAATTTCTGTATTTTTGTGTTGTTTTCATAGACTTCAAAATATCTTATTTGAACCTTCTTCACCCCATGGGTATATTAGAAGAATATCATTTATAAATATTTTGTATATCTCCAAGTAAAAAAGTGTTTATTAATTTCTAGTATAGCTTCTCTGAAGCTCAAGAACATCTTTTGTATGATTTCTGTTCTTCTGTATTTGTCTAACAGCCAAGAATGCATTTGTCTAACAGCCAAGATTTGTCTGACAGCCAAGAATGCATTCTATTTTGCTGAAAATTCCATGTGCATTTGAGAAAATGTGAATTTAGCTGTTATTGAAAGCACTGTGTCCTTGAGTTTGAAGATGTGGTTATCACAAGAGCTACTTTATCTCTTATCCCTATAATTGGGCCTACCAGGTATTCCTGCCTCATGTTTCTGTGCTGCTTTTCTTCCTCTAGCTGCTATGAGTGCCTGCTAGTGCCGTAAAACAGATTTGTTGTTCTTGCCCTTGCAGATGAATATATTTGTTCCATAAATTAGATAAGAATATATTTCTTTTTTTTTTTTTTGATTTGGAGTCTCAGTCAATCGTCCAGGCCACCCCAGTGTTGACCTACTAGGCCCCGACAATCCTTCCACCTTAGCTTTCCAAGTAGCCGAAACTACAGGCATTACCACATCCAACTAATTTTTAATTTATTGTAGAACGAGGTCTCGCCAAGTTGCCCGGGCTAGTCTCAAACCTGCGGGCTCAGGCAATCCACGTGCCTCAGCCTCCCAAAGTGCTGGGATTACAGCTAAGCTACCGAGCGTGGCCAATAAGAATATATTTCTAGGCAGAATTTTGGCAGCAGCTCCTGTTACGTCTTCCAGCATATCCCGAAACTGGAACTTTCTCAGGATCCTTTATGATCTTTCCTGTGAGCTCCCCATTTGGATCATGGAGGGAAATATTACAAGAGCACACAGATCATCTGTATCCGTTGCAGTGGAAGGTTAGCTTCTTGGTCAACCTTCATGGAACCACAGAAGCATTCCATTTTTGTTTTGCATGAATATGTGGATGATGTCAAACATGTTTTCGGTTCTGTTAAATTACTTTTGGCTAGAAGAAACAGGATTTTTTTTCTTGGAGCTCTTTTTGTTGCTGGCTCCAGATTGTAGGTTGCTTTAGCACTCTGTCTAGGATATATGGGAAGCAGAAAGAAAAGCTTTGGAATTCTCTGCTGTGTCATTTCTTAAGTCCTGAGGTTCATATTTTTCTATTTTGTAGAGTCTTTGTATGTTTGTTCATCTTTTTTTTTCTTGCCAGGATTTTTAATTGTAAGAAGGAAGATCTGGGAGGAAAAGGCCTACTCCATCTTGGATGAAAATAATACCTATTTCTTTAAACATTATAGATGAGGAACAAGAAAGAGAATCTGTCTGTGCATATTTTCAGTCTTTGGAAACATGACCAGAAAAAATAAAATAAAATACATAACAAAACATGGGTACAAGTCCCTCTCCATGAAAAGTGTAAGATTTATAATACGTTTTCAATTTTTTTCATTTTAGGATATCATAAAATTGATGACAACATACAAGAGATCCAGGAAAAACAAAAGAAGTCTCTGTGTCAAGTAATATTCATTGATGACAATGATAAAACCTTGAGTAAAGAAGAGCAGAAAGGATACCTCATTCAGTATCAGAGGACCCATTCAGGGGAGAAACTTCAATACGAAGAATGTGGGAAATCATTTTGTACAAGTTCACACTCTATTCAGCATTCTGGAGCTCATGTGGGATTCAAACATTATGAATGTAATGAATGTGGGAAAACTTTCTGTCAGAAGTCAAACCTTAGTGAACATGTGAGAATTCACACTAAGGAAAAAACTTATGGTAACAATGACTGTGGGAAATCTTACAGGTCACCCATTATAGGACATCAGAGAATAGAAACAAAGATGAAACTCTGTGAAGCCAGTGAATGTGGGAAAATATTCTTCAAGATGGCATGTCTTAAAGAACATTGGAGAATTCCCACTGAGGAGAAACCTTATGAATGTATTGGATGTGGGAAAACTTTCTTCACATCATCACATCTCAGAGCACATCAGAGAATTCACACAGGTGACAAACCCTATGAATGTATTGAATGTGAGAAAACTTTCTCTCACAAGACACACCTCAATGCACATCAGAGAATCCACACAGGAGAGAAACCCTATGAATGTACTGAATGTGGAAAATCTTTTACCTGTAATTCAGCCCTAAAAGCACATCAGAGAATTCACACAGGTGAGAAACCCTATGTATGTACTGACTGTGAGAAAACTTTTGCCTATAATTCAGCACTCAGAGCACATCAGAGAATTCACACAGGGGAGAAACCTTATGAATGTAAAGAATGTGGAAGGGCTTTTGCCCGTATTTCTGTTCTCAAAGCACATCAAAGTATTCATACAGGTGAGAAACCCTATGACTGTAATGATTGTGGGCGATCTTTTACCTTCAGTTCAGGTCTAAGAGCACATCAGAGAATTCACACAGGGGAGAAACCCTATGAATGTAATGAATGTGAGAAAACTTTTACCCATAATACAGCCCTCAGAGTACATCAGAGAATTCACACAGGGGAGAAACCTTATGAATGTAATGAATGTGACAAAACTTTTACCCGTAATTCAGCGCTTAGAGCACATCAGAAAATTCACACAGGGGAGAAACCCTATGAATGTAATGAATGTGGAAAAACTTTCACTGAGAAGTCATATGTTAGTGCACATCAGAGAGTTCACACAGGAGAGAAACCCTATGAATGTAATATTTGTGGAAAACCATTTGCCTTTGACTCATCCCTTAAAGTGCATCAGAGAATTCACACAGGTGTGAAATCCTATTGTTGCAATGAATGTGGGAAAACTTTCTCCCAGAAGTCACACCTTATGTCACACCAGAGGACTCACACAGGGGAGAAACCCTATGAATGTAATGAATGTGGAAAAAGTTTCTCCCAGAAGTCAAACCTTAGTGCACACCAGAGGACTCACACAGGGGAGAAACCCTATGAATGTAATATTTGTGGGAAACCATTTGCCCTTAGCTCATCCCTTAAAGTGCATCAGAGAATTCACACAGGTGTGAAATCCTATGGATGTGATGAATGTGGGAAAACATTCTCCCAGATGTCATACCTTAGTGCACACCAGAAGACTCACACAGGGGGAGAAACCCTATGAATGTAATGAATGTGGGAAAGCTTTTGCCCACTTTTCAACTCTCAGAGTACACCAGAGAATTCACACAGGGGAGAAACCCTATGAATGTGGTGAATGTGGGAACATTTTTGTTCGTAAGGCAGCTCTTAGAGTACATCACATCAGAATGCATACCAGAGAGAAAACCCTAACACATCATGAATTTGAGAAGTCCTGAATTAACTCATGCCTTACTTTATACCACACAGCAGAGAAACTCTTGTCATGTAGACTGGAAAGTTGTTTTCCCTAACATTTTCCACTAGGCTCATATCTTGTTGAAAATCCCGATCTCATTCATCCAGGTGGGCTGACCAGAGAATATGATGATAATGATATCTATTACATTTTGTCCTGGCCCTTAAGCATAGTCTCCTTGGTCTATGGCAAGATGGGATTGAGATGATTTCCACAGCAAGTTGGCTTTTG